TAGGCTGGTACATGGCACCGGCCTGGCACATCAATGCCGTGTGATTGCCTAGGGGATGAACTCATGACCCAGTTTGTGCCAACGCTATAAGTCTAGAACCTCTGCTGGAGCATTTGGGAGACACCATTATTCATGCTGGATTTCCTGAGAGTGTGCAAAACTGCAGTTGTGTGAGGCCATCTGCCACCACTCGGGACAGCATGCCTCACTGTGAACTAACCAGGGACCAGGGCCAAGACCCAAGACCTGGAGAGGAAGGCATTTTTAAAAACCTCGCTGTGCCTCTGAATACAGACATACCCGAACACAGATCGCTCCAGGTTTTGTTCAGTGATATGAACTACGAGAATCTGGGTTTCTACAAGAGGAGTCTTAAGCCTGGAACTCACTAAAAGCTGCTCAGTGGGAGTATAACCACTCAATGTAAGCCAAACCTAAAACTGCTCCGTTCATTCCTCCCCCACCCCACCCCAGTAGAATTGAACCCAGAGCCTAACACATGCTGGGCAAACATTTATTTTGAGACAAGGTCACACGAAGTTGTCTAGGCTGTTCTGGAATTCACTCTGGATCCCAAGCAGGCCTTAAACGTATGCTCTTCCTGCCACATCCTCCTGAGTAGCTGGGATGGCAGCCTGGGCCACCAGACTCAGCTCTATCTGTTTTTATTTTTATTAATGACTGCATTGGTAGAATTCACATACTGTTAGCGCTCACTCTTCTGGAAGCGCGATTCCAGAATGTGCAGTGCGTCCCTCGGTTGTGCAGCTGTCTACTCTCATGTTCTAGACTGAGCTGAGGATGACGGGGTTCTCTCGTCCTGCCCTCTTTCTGCTGTTCCCTCATACAACACAACGCGGGGTCCAGCAAGATGGCTGAGAGGAAAGGACACTTGTCACAAAGCCTGGTGACCTGAGTTCAATCTCCAGGACCTACACAGTAGAACACAAATGGGTCTCTTAAGTTGTTCTCTGATGTCTACATGTGCACTCCTGTGCACATTAAAAAAAAAAAAAAGCACAGCACACAAGAGAGGAGGTAGTTAGCAAACCCATTCAAGGCAGGGGCATATCGGAAGGCGTGCTGGCCAATCAGGGCATGTAAGAAGGCACGTCTGTCAATCATTTGCACGTGCTGGCCTTTAAGCTGGATCCCTGCACCATCAGAGTGAGCTTCCTGAGAGCTAGCTGCACACTTGGCTTCTGTGCCTTTGTTTCCAGAACTTGATTTTGTTCGATTACAGCTTGCTTTTTTTTTTTAAATAGTAACAAGTCAGAAATCAGAAATTCAACAGCAGAGAAATGATGAATTTGTGTGCATGGGACAGAATAGCATACAGTCACTAAAAATCATATTTACAAATAGATTTGAAGACATGGGAAATGCACATGAGTTAATGTCAGCTAAAGAAAGAAAACATTAAAATGCACAAGCAGTAGAATCTCAGGTATATAGCACAGTAAACATTGGCAAATGGAATAAATAATCCTGCTTATTAGACGCAATAATTTTTGTAAAGGTAGATTATGGGCAATTATTTTCTTTCTGCTTTTCTATATCTGTCAGGTTTTCTAAAATAGGCACTAATTAGACCAGACCCACAACCATTACTTTTAGGCATATTCCTTGATGATTATTTTCTTTTACTAATGTGACTACCACAGAACTCAGATCCCTTTTATCATAAACATAAGCAGTGCAATCCACTGAGCTCCCTTTTGTATCTGGACTGCTTTCAGAGCAAAGAATCCAATACTCCAAATGCTACACCCAGCTTTATCTTAAAGTGAGATCTTCAAAGCCTCTACATAGCTTCTGGTACTTCCTCTTGTCTACCCTTTCAGTGCCTTGATTGTGTTTTTATTATGCATGTCCTCCTGGAATCCATAAACAAGTGTTTACTGAAGTGACCCAATGCCACACCAAAGAAGAAAAAGCCCGACAGTCCTATGATCTGTTGTGATGCCTCACTATTATGACCGCGGCACTGACAGAGGCCTTGAAAGTTCTAGGCTAGGCTTGGAATACCAGGTACTAGAGATGTTGGTACAAGTTCAAGGCCTGCCTGAGCTACTGAATGAATTCAAGACCAGCTTGGGCAGCTTGTGGAAACTCTATCTCAAAATGAAAATGTGGAAAGAGAGCTGGGGATATGGCTCAGTGGTAAGGGATTTGGCTACAGTATTGCAAAATGGAAAACAGAAAGTTCTGTTTCGCTCATCCCAGGAGAGGCTCAACCAACATCGACACATACAGGAGGTACCTTGCCTGTGAGATAAGATAACATACTGACTGTACCTTTCATCTCTTTTACAGGTGGTGGCATTGACTATTGGGGCCAATTACTAACATCAAATGTCAACAAAGCCAGGCAAAATTAGCCCACTACACCCATCTTCTGACATAAGGGACCAGCCGGCGAGTGTGAAGACAGCTCTCAGAGTCCACAAACACAGCCATCGCTCACTCTGAAATGACGAACACCTTTCAGATTGCCCTGGATCCACTGCAAGTTCTCACACTGATTTTTTTCCTTCACTCTGGCTCAGAAAAAAAAATGTTAAAGATGAGCTTACTTGGGGCAGGGGAAGTAATTATAGCCCCTGGGCACTCTCCCAAATGTGATACCTCCTGCAAGAGATGATACATTGACTGTCAGCCAGAATTCCCTTTTCTAGTGGTAGCCTCCCTGACTCTCTTAGAGATCGGAAAACCAAGCAGGAGAAAGAAGCATTCTTAAAATGCTAGCAGCGACTGAGTTATCCCCCCTAAAGCCACAGCATCTTACTGGTGGATCCACACCAAATGAAAGTGCAGGAAGGGAGGCAGACTCATGGATCGAGTGCTTATGGCCTGCCAGACAGAGCACTGGCAGTGGATGGAGCCTGCCGGCATCTCTCTGTCAGCCCCTGGACGCCACCCGACAGAGGATGTCTAACCACTCCACTGTTGAGCTGTGGACACCTGCATTTAGAGAGATCAGAGATTAGGTGTCTGGTTCAAGGTCACGGGTGGGCAGGGTAGGGGTGGGAATAACCTATTTCTGAGTGTTCAACCCTAAAGCCCCCAAGTCAGGCTCAGTTAACACTAGGCTCCTCTCCTGTTGTCACCTAAATGTTCCCAACCAACTGAAGTGCCTCTGCCGCATCCTCTTGACTTTGGGCCATCTCACTTAGAAAGTCACCAAAATGCACTTGAAAAAAAAAAAAGAAAGAAAAGAAAGAAAGAAAGCTTTGGCCCACACCCTGCAACCAAGCACCCATCCCTCTGCTACCATAGTGGATTCATAAGAAACTTCTCAGGGAGTCTTTTGAAACATTCTACAAGACATAGTCAGGATGCAAGCAGGGCTGCCCCTGTCCCCAGATGTTTTTGTCTCCAAAGAAGCGGCCTTTCCTTGTCCCTTCCAGAATTATGTGTGGAAGCCACAGGAAAGAGTGCCGAGATATGCCTCTATATAAATGAACAGCGCTCTCTATTTGAGCGTGCCAGACCAGTACCCCGAAAGAACTTGAAACGCCCAGGTAAAATATGAGAGCGCCAGGAACGTCATTCCAAAGTGATTTCACACACGGTTAGCCCTGCACAGCCACCCAGCGTGCCTCTTCCTGAGGCAGAGGACGCCTCTCCGCCTGCAGCAACCTGCGCTCACTGCCACCAACTGCCACCGATTCTTTCACCTTTTATTTACAGAGCAGAACAGCAGGCTGCTTCATCAGTGAAGCGGGGGAGGTGGGGAATGAGATACAATCTACATTCTGCTCTTTTCCTGGGGTTATAAAAAAAAAGGGGGTCAGGCAGGGGAGGAAGCCCTACCCAGGTTACACCACGTAGTTTGGATACTCCTTCCCTAAGGGGTCTGTCCCGGGGCTCCAGCAGAGGCACGCAGGAGAGGAGCCCGGGAAGCCAGGGCCAAGAGCTGCACCTTGGCAGTGCTGGGCGAAGCAAGAGGCGCAAACAGAGCTCACGGTAAAGGAAATCACTGCCCCCTTCAGGCCGCATCTCCCGAGGCTGCGACCAAAGAGAAGAGGCTCCTTGGGTCCGGAAAAACTCGCAAACCCGACCTTGTGCTCACTACTGATCGCTCTTTCAGGCCCTCTCTGTCTCCTAGCCTCAGGGTGGGCTGTCAAGGTCTGAGCTGAGGCTTTTTGGAAACCTAGACAGAGGGAGTGAGACGGGGCCTTGGGATGGAAAGGTTTTGGTTCTCTAGCTCTGCTCAGAGAAGGAGACCAGAGGGGAACCCTCTGCTACACTTCAAGTCAAGGCTTCCACGACTCAGATGCCTCAAGTGTACACCTGCTCTGCTGTGCTTGCAGCTGCCGAACAAAAGTGGCAGCGCAGCCGGACACCACCACGAGTCCCGGGCAAGACCTGTCAGGCCACTCTATGAGCAACTAACCTTAGGCAGGGAGGGGGGAAGGGGAGTCTCCCAAAACCACTGGAGCTATGGCTAGCGCTGGGTAGATCCCGGCAGCAGCGCTGCAGAACCTTCGGCCCCAAGACTGCCCGTGGCGCGCGAGGTCTAAGCTGTAGACGCGCACCACACGACCAGTCTTGCCGGGAGCTCAGGCCCTTAGGGTCTCGGAACCCTTTGGACCCTAAAGAGCGTCTTGGTTTTCTTGGGGTCTGGGAACAGGCCCCGTGGCCAGTCCAGTTGTGGCTGGCCCATTTTATAGTCAATGCGCCTGTTCTTCCCACTTGGCACCCCATAACCCTAGGAGCAGCACCTGAACAGGGATAACCACCTCAGGCCTTTGGGGGTCCAGCCTATACCGTCTCTACTCCTCTGGTCAAAAGAGACCCCATTCTGCACACACCCACACACACTCCCAGAGGTGCAAGGTTCTTAAAAATCAGGGTCCCATCTGCACCAGCCAAGCCCAGTGGGACCCTGGTGGGCACAGTTCGCGGTGCCCTCGGCCAGCGAGGATCGGACAATCGCGGCTTCACCCCTTCCTCGCCGCCCCCAGCCCCGACGGCACAGGCATCCGGACACTCACCTCGGTGTCATAGAGTCGTAGGTCCAGGAAGTAGGGGCGCAGGAGTGACTCGTTGCGGATCTGCTCGATGGCTAGCTCCACGGCTGGGAGCACGCCGCGCCCGATGCTGCCCTTGGCCACCTCCTTGGTGAGCGGCATGAGGCCCATGATGGAGAGCGGCGGGCTGCTGGGCGGCGGCCGGGGGGCACCCCGTGCCCAGCCCCAGGCCCCGGGCGCCAACGACAGCAGCAGTGACAGCAGCAGGGGCAGCAGCAGGCGCGCGGGCGGCGGCGGCGGCGGCCGGGGCTGCCCGGAGCTCGGCGGGGAAGCCATGCCGCGCCGCGGGCTGCGGGCGCCAGCTCACTCGGCCCGCATGGCCTGGCCCGGCCCGCCGCCCGGCGCCGAGCTCTGCCCGCGGCTCCCGCGCAATGGCGCCGGCACGGGCCCCGGCTCGGCTCCGGCTCCTGCTTACTTAGAACGGCCGCGGCGGCGGCGGCGCCCGTGACGGATCAATCACGCCGGGAAGGGGTGGGAGCGAGCGGAGTGCGGGAGGCGGGGAGCCAGCGAGCGAGCGCCGAGGGGGCCGAGTCTCCGCGCGCCTCTCTCCAGCGCGGCCGCCCCGCACCCGGTCGCCTCCTCCCGCCCCCGTGCGCGATCGCAGCGCTTTCCTGCCCGGAGCTGCGGGCCCGCGGACCCTGGAGTCCAGCTGGGGGAGGGAGGGTGGCGGGAGACGCGCAAGGCGAAGGCAAGGCTGCTGAGCGGCGGCTCGGGCCGCCTCCGGGGACAGGGACGGGCCGTGCGCGCCGGGGGAGGGGGAGGCGCCGGCGCTGCGGCGGCCGCGGGGAGGGCCGTGCTCCCCGCACACGCACACTCGCGCCCGGGGCTCTGTGCCGCGCCGGCTGCCGAGGCCGGCTGACCCCACCGGTAACCTGAGCTCCAGAGCACCTCGGTTTTGGGAATCGCGACCCGGAGCTGCCACGCGCGGGGCCGCGGCCGCCTCGCCCTGCGCTTCCTGTAGCACCTGCAAGGTGGTTGGGTGCTGCTTCTCCCAGGTCTAGGCGGGCGAATCGAGGGAACGAACGTTCCACAAAGGTGTCCTAGGGGCACCTGCAGCCTGCGCTCTCCTGTGCTTACTGTCGCCGCACCTGGGGCTCTTGATCCAGCCTGGAGTCCTTTGCCAACCCCAGGCCAGGGCTGGGATCCTATGTGTACTACCGCCCCCTCCAGGCATTTGACCTCCTAGTGTCCCCAATCCCAGAGGGCCCCGCCTTAAAATTCTCCCCTGGGTGGGAACTCTGTCTTCAGGACCAAGAAGCACTGCACACCCCTGGACCTGGCTCGCTTTCTCTGCCAGGTGGCATAGGCACACTGGCTAACCTCAGGCAAAGCAGTTCTGGGCCAGGTGAACCTGAGTGACTTCCGTGTGCCCATGAACCATGACAGCTGTGCACACTAACCTGCAAATTCCAGCATCTGATTAGTGAGAGCGTACGTCGTGTAACAAAACAGCCCATCCAAAGTCTGGACCATATGTACGACCTTGTAACAAGGGTGGGAATTTAGCCTTCTCCAAGTGCTCGCTACTTGGTGTACAATGCAATCCTCAGAACAGCCCTATAAACAATAAACTGAGTCTAGCATCTCAGTTTGCCAGAATGCACTGGTGGGGTCAGTAGCTTGATAATAAACACAGTTAGCTCAGGGGAGTGGAATGCACAGCCACAGAGCACTCTTCTGCACCCTAAAGTTGGGAAGTCCCTCCGGAAGGAGGGCTCAGTGTTCTCAGTAGCTCTGGGTCCGATTCTTCCACACATTTGGTAAGGGGTTACCTGAATGGAGTCTGCATGTCTAGAGCGAGGCATGCACCCTGAAGAAGCCTCTAGTGTCAAGAAGTAGAGCCCAACCTGAGCTAAGAGGATGGGCAGGACCTTGGACAGCTCCAGCGAAAGCGAGGCCAAGTCAGCCCAGCCCTTTTCTCTTTCTAGGTGTCTTCTGGGCTGGAGGTTTGTGCAAAGGCACAGTTCATCCAAGCCCCCCAATCCTCTAGCCCCCCCAAAAATGTTCATAAGTCACCCCAGACACTCTATCAGGTGTCCTACTGATGGGAAGAGATCTATCTACCTGCCTATCTGTTTGGCTCCAGGCCAAGTTGTGACCTCATGTCTCACTTTGCTTGTCTGTTCATCCCTCTGGCTCTCAGTTCATACCACTGTGGGTAACTGGGTCCTTGGTGTTCTTGCTGGGTCTGAGTTCCTGCCTCAGTCAGCAGCCTAGAATCCAAATTCTTGTAGAGGTAGAGCTGGGATGCTTTCAGTTAATAGCCATTTCTCCCTTCTACTACATTCCAACTGGGGACCCTCTTCCATGCTTGGCAGGATGATACAGAGTGAAGGAAGCAACCCCAGTCACTGTCCTTGTGGAGCTGGTGCCCTGGGGGAGAAAGAGAGACCGTATCTAGGAATAAGAAGGCATTACAGTGTGTGGGTTTGAGGGAAAACCCACTGGAGGACAATAATACAACAGGAAAGAGGATTGAGACAGGTGAGGTCAGGCTAAGGTCCAAAATACAGAGTTCAGGGAAGTGCTCACTACAGTGACTCCTTACAGAGACGTGAGGGAACTAAGACAGGTAGACAGTGTCCCATGAGAGGTAAGGACACGGAATAGGGGGCAGAGGGGAGCTTGGCATGTTTGAGGACAGCCAGGAACCAGGGTGGCTGGCACAGAGTGAACAAGGCCAAGAGTGGAAGGAGCCAAGGTCAAAAATGGGGAGATCATTCGGGGCCTCTGTGCTGTGAGGACATTGGCTGCACTTGACAACATGGAGAATTACAGGAACCAGGCCATGATCTGAGCTATGTGACCAGGCTACTCTGGCAGCAGAGTGAAGATCCATTAGGCAGAGGAAAGGGCAGAGGTAGGCACAGCAGCTATTATATTCAGTGGCATGGCAAGGATCAGGGTAGAAGCAGAGGAGGTGAAAATGAGGGGAGTCGTAATTGTTCTTAGTATTAATGGGAATCGAATGCACTGGCCAAGTCCCAGGGCTGTGGAAACTCTTGACTGTAGTCCTCTCCTCACAAGAAACTCAATGCCTCAGGGTACGCCTCCAGAACCAGATGGGTGTCAGTGTCAGCTGGGTCTGCAATGCTTAAAGCCTCAGGGTCTTCCCACACCTGTTTCTCAGCAATCCTCTCATTCCCACCCTTCCCTAAAAATAGACATTTGTCTCCAAATCCCAGACCAGGTATCGGGCTATGCTGAGATAGTCCCTCGCTGGCCTTATGAGGACTTGTGAACTCTGTGGTCCATTGGCTATCAGGGGGTAGAACACCCTTCTGAGCAGGACTCTGCCACAGGAAAACAACCACCCTCTATCCCCACTGTCTATTTTTGCCTCTATTAGGCTGGGAATTCTTTTCCACCTTGGTTGGAGTTGAGGCTGCCCAGCTCAGACATAACAGCTGTTTTCCTCTAAGACCTGGATCGAAATTCCCCACCCACTTCCCTTTCCCACCAGTGGTCCATGCCCCAGAAGCAGTAAGGCCCCTGTCACTCTTTTTAAACACTTTTTACATTTTCATTTAGATTTAAATTTTTTGTTGTGTAAACACAAGGATGCATGCACACATGTGCACAAGTGTGTGCTATGGCACACCTGTGGTGGTCAGAGGACAGATGGCAGGAATCAGTTCTCTTCTTCCACCTTATGGGTCCTAGGGAAATGAACGCAGGCCATTAGGCTCGGTGACAAGCCACTGAGCCATCTCAATGCGCCCGCCTCTCGCTCCTTTTCTTTAAGAATATCAACAAGCCACCCTTGCAAACACCTTCCATGGATCTGTGTTTACACTTGGATATTTCTTTCCTTTGAGCAATTCAGCTGTTTTTTTAAAAAGTGTGTTGTTTTACATTTCTTCTTCTTCTTCTTCTTCTTCTTCTTCTTCTTCTTCTTCTTCTTCTTCTTCTTCTTCTTCTTCTTCTTCTTTTTTTTAATGGAGAAGCCGTGAGTGATGGCTCTGAAAAAGATTCCCTGAATGACTCTCGAGAGCTTGTTCCTTTTTTCCCAAGGCATGTTTTTTAAACTGAAAAATTGGGTTTCAGGCATCAAATGTGGTCTAGTGACATCTTCGAGTCATAATAATAGCTGCCACTTACACTAACCACCCACCTGCTCTGTGCCAGACACCTTGAGATGCATCATCTGAGTCTTCATGGCAGCTGGGAAAATGGGTGTTAGCATCTTCATCTCTGAAGAGAGGGGTGAGGGGCTCTCTTGTCTTGGCGGTGTCCTAAGGGCAGAGACAGTGATGGACACAAGCCACCCACACGTCCCTGCTCCTGCGCTCGCCTGTCTCTGAGGACACATGTCTATAGCTGATCAGCAACATTCCAAAGAGGCTAAGAACACCATTGAATGTCTGGGGGGATGGTTCAGTTGATAAAGCGCTTGCTGCCTAAGTATGAGAACCAAAGTTTGAAACCCCAGTACCCATATTAAAAGGGTTAGAGAGATGGCTCAGCAGTTAAGAACACTGATTGATATTCCAGAGGACCAGGGTCTGATCCCCAGCACCTATATGGTGGCTGGTCTGTACCTCTGGTTCCAGGGGCGCCAATGCCCTGTTCTGGCTTCCAGGGTCTCCTACATACATTTGGTAAACAAATATACATGTAGGCAAAACACCTACATATATGAAAATAAATTAAAAAAATCTTAATGAATAAAATAATAAAAATGAGGCATGCTAATGTCCATCTTAGTTTTAGCAATGAGCAGAGGGGCTCATTGGCTAGCTTATTTAGCTAAATCAGTGATTTCCAGAACTAGAGAGAGAGTTTGTCTCAAAAAGGAAGGTAGAGATTAAAGGAGGAAGACACGTGACATCAAACCCTGGTCTTCCAAACACATATGTCTATATGCACAGAACAGCTGAAACCAGCACTGACAAATAGGAAGAAGAGCTGGTCAGGGGACTCTACTGAATGAAGGATGGGTCTGGGTCTCCTGACCTACCCAAGAAGCCTCTATGATGACAATGACCCCACCAATGCTTCAGGAGTACAGTGCCCTTGTGGCTGGATCTCTCATCAGAGCCAACACTGGGGACTGCATTTCTAACACACGCAGTAATTCCTAATCAGACGCTTTCCAGAGGGCACAGATTGGCAAGAGCTCAACATCCCTCTCTCTTAGAAATTTCAAAAATATTAAGATCATTGACAGCTGGGTGGTGGTGGTAAAATCCTTTAATCCCAGCACTTGGGTGGCAGAGACAGGTGGATCTCTGAATTTGAGGCCAGCCTGGTCTACAGAGCGAGTTTCAGGACAG